AGCGTACAGCGACGACAATGATGGTCACTGCAACGATAAGAATGTCCATAAAAGCGGAACCCTTCTCTGATGGTGTTCGATGATTGTCGCCAGATAAACCTCCTACAAAACGGAAAAGCAGGATGAAGAAAAGCAAGGTCGCAGCTGATGTACCGAGTTTGGCGATGGCCATCGCGAGCCCACCGAGCTTTTCCTGGAGAGGCGTGGCTTCAACTTCAGCACGGACAGACATCATGATTCGTCCAAAACTGCTGTGAACGCCGACAGAAGTTGCCATATATGTGCCAACACCTTCAAGGACTTTGGCGCCGGAGATGATGAAAGGATCCAGCTTCTTCATGGACTGACCGGATTCAAGCGCTTTCATCACTGCTGCTGCTGGGGTCTTTCGCATAGCATCGGACTCTCCTGTAGCTGAAGACTCGTCGCACCTGACGTCAGAGCCGTCGATGAATATGCCGTCCACAGGAATGACATCTCCGGGTTCCAAGTGTATAACATCTCCAGCAAGAACGTCGTAGACGCTCATCATAATGATCTTTCCTGAGCGAGTGACTTTGATTTCGCGTTGTTCCTTCTTTGCATTAAGCCGAGCAAAGGCTTGTTCCTTCTGCCAATCATTTACTGCCGTAACGAGAACGACAATCACAATAGCGACACAGATGGCGAGACCCTCTACCCAGTCAACTGGGGTTGGGGAACCTGGAGGATGATCCGCTCCGAAAGTTTCGTACAATCCGAGAGCAAGAGAGATAGCGGCGGCCACAGTCAAGACTATCAGGACCGTGTCGTTGTAGGCGTTCCAAACCAAGCGCCACAGGGGAGTGACTTTCTTGGGTGGCAGGGTGTTGCGACCATAGACTCGGATACGATCCTCAAATGGCATGCCGTTGCTTGGTGACCTACTTGATTCCGTCTCTTTCGTCGGCGTCTGGGAGGTCGTTGCTTCTTCGAAACTGACATGACGAGGCGCTATCGATTCATCCACGCTGAGTCCAGAGTGAATGTCCGACTGCAAACCAGTAGCAATGCCCTTGAGACCACCCAAAGCCTGTAAAACGGGAAGCGACTTCGGGTTTAACAGCTTATTCAGCTGGGAAGGCGTGAATGCGAATGGATTGTTGGTGATGGTATTAGCTTCACTACAAAGTTCCTGTCTGACCGCCGCCTCGGTCTCGTCGACTACCGTGGACGCACCGCTGGTCGACGCATTGCTTGGAGATATTGGTGTTGTGAAGGGATTCGAAGTCTGCGAAGTCACGGTTTCCGCTTCGCTCAGGGCGCGTTGCCGGGTATTGATCTGGAGTGTCGGGGGGGCTAGTTTGCCGGCCTCCATGTTGAAAAGCGATAGAAGAGAAATCGCTCAGATGGAAAATCGGAAGGACGGATGAGATGTCCTTGTCAAACGGTTGGAGCAACGCGTAATTGGAGGTTGTAAGCTGGTCTGTGAGAGGGTGCAAAGCGCGCAGACCCAGGGTCCATATACGCGGCACATGGGGGGCTGTGTGCCAGCACAAGAGTCGCATGGCAAAGCCTGCTTCACTCCTTGGTGCGTCATTTTGAATCTGCCTAGAAAGAGGACATGGCCGCCAGAGCGCTTCAGTCAACTCCGCCGCACGGCATCTTCACGGCCTTGTCCGTCTGATACACGGTCACGGCAGACATCACTCGCTGCGATCTGCCAGATTCGACGTTCTAGCCAAGGGACCCGTCGAAGCGCCCTAGAAAAGCTGCCAAGTGAAAAATTTGTATCGGAGTCTTGTTGGCAAAGAGCTGTGATGGGCGAAATGCCCAGGAACAACAAGAGACCGGCGTTGCTTGGACGGGGCAGTGCAAACTCGGGCCCACAGCTGTACCGGTACCGCACCCAATGCTTGCTTCCCATCGACGGCCGGCCAACGGCGGAATCAAAGTCGTAATAGTTTGTGGGATGGAAGGGTATAGAGGCAGAAGTAGAATAGGTAGGTAGGAGGGATGGCGATGTTGCGATAGAGAGAGAGATGGGGGGGAGAGAGAATGTAGCTATGGTTGAGGTAGTGAAGTCAGTCGTCAGTCGTTCAGTCGTTAGTCCGTGCAGGCTAACCGTGCTGGTAGGTGAGTCGACTAGGATGGGCAAGGAATAGCCGTTGCTGATTGGCTACCCCTACGCCCGGCCACAGCTCAGCGCCACAGTCCAGGTGTGGCGCATACCTTTGGCCTAGCGACATGTCACGTGTGGGATAGTACACCGCAGGTACGGTACCTATGTACATGTGCCCCTGAAGCAGCATACCTACATCGAGTACCTACACAGGCCACAAGTGTCAGTCCTCTCTTCCATTGAGTCAATGATGGAAAAAACAGGTACCGGGCGATCATGACTTGCACTACCCAAACGATTCAGCCCTGGCGGGTGCCTTGATTCGCCCCGAATGGACAGCAAGCCCCGCCCATGGCATTGCTTAACGGGGGCAGTGCATAGCAACGACATCTTGAAAGGCTCATGGGGCTTTATTTGCCAGCTGACTGCCCGTTGATTCAGCATCTCAGCTCTGTTGTTCGAGAATCTCAAGTTTGCCCCCATACATACGTCAACCCACCGCCACCTCTCAGGCTAGTATCGTGACCACGTAGAGTGCCCTACGTGGCGCGTCTTGGCTGGGATAGCAATCGTCCCTACCACCAATATGCCTACCGCCACTTCTAGCCGCCACCACCTCTCTCTCTCTCTGCTCGGCCTGCCTGAATCGTAGTGCAATACTCATATTTAGGCAGCCTCCTCGATGGAACTTTGTCAAAACCAAGACCGAAACTGCCTATGACGCGCTGCGAAGGCCAATTACGAGCCACCGGTAGGGTTGTCAGTCATACTGAGACTGTAAATAGCCCTGCCAGGTGCCCAGTTGCTCACTG